CACCACATCACCACCACCTCCACACCCCCCACATCACCACCACCTCCACACCCCCACATCACCACCACCTCCACACCCCCTCCACCACACCACCATCTATCTCCACTACCACAGCCACTCTTTTTCTTCATTTTCTAGGCAGGAATATAACCCAGACCTTATTCACTAACGGACTTTTAAACAACCATTTCAAATGAATTTAAATAAGATAATTTCCTCATAGGTGTGTGTTTTTTCTTTCTCAAATAGATTGCAATGGAATTTGACCAAAAGTCTGTTTTGCTTTTGATGAAAGCCATGGCTGCTGTTAAACTGAGGATATGATACATTTAAAGACAATTAAGGAAGGATCACTTTTAAAGAAAATGGGTAAATGAGATTTGTTTCATGTCAGTAAAGAAACTTTGTTTTCTAGGTATGCAAAGAAGCCTGGTTGTCCTGATGTCTTCAGAGAGACCATGGATCAGTCCGGAGTTCTCCTCTGGGTAAAGGCAGAACCTTTTCTAGTGGGTGCCTTGCAGGAGCCACCTCCATCCAAATTCAGCCTTCACTACCTCAGGAAGGTAGCCACCTATGTGCGAACTCGAGCCACAGATGGTGCCTACCCACGCCTGTACTGGCCTACCTGGAGGCACATTGCGTGTGGAAAGCTGCAGTTGGCTAAGGATCTAGCATGGCTTTACTTTGAAATATTTGATAATCTTTCTGTGAGGACACCTGAGGAACGCCTGGAATGGTCTGAAATTTTGTCCAACTGCGCGACTGAAGATGAGGTTGAAAAGCAGAGAAGTCAGGTATGGACCAGTGTATATGTAGTTACTCTGAGAAATGATCCATTCTTAGTTTTTGTACTAACAGTATAGTTTGAGGCTTTAGGTTGTTGGCAGTTGTGACTCTAAAGCACCATTTGAATTTTAGCATTTCTAGCTTGGAGTGTTTTGATGTATGTGTGTGATTAATTAGTCCTTACTTACTAGTCCGTATTTCCCCACTCCTGAAGGAAGCATGAATTGGAAACCCTTCCACTGACTTTAAAAATATTTTTGGGCAAGATAATGTTAGAATTGCTGATATGTTACAGGTAGCAGCACCCGCCCCAGAGTCTCTTTAGCAGTCTGTTGTCTTCTCCTTACTCAGCCACCTCATTCTAACCAGACTGATTGAAAATGACATCTGCTGTATGCTAGAACTAAATAACTATCCAGAATGTTATTAATTCACCCAGATTCTGTTGCTAACAAGATAAAGCACCAGACTGGGCTGATTATAAAGAGCTTTAGTGTGGCTTATAGTGCTGGAGTTCCAAGGTTGAAAGGCCACATAGTTGGCTCTAGCATCCTTCTGGTGGAGACCTGCAGCAGTGTGGGAGGCCATCTCATGCTGAGACACTGTCTGCCTGTGTGTACGACAGTCTCTCTTCCTCTCACAAAGCTGCCAGTCTTGAGTCTCAGGGCTGCTACCCTTGTTTAACCATAAGCACTTCCTCAGCTTCACTCAATACTACAGCCACAGGTTTGCCCTCTTGGTCCCTCAGAATGAGGATTAAATCTCAACATGAATACTCAGAATGGACAAGCCATATTCAAGCCATAGCTTCTGCTTCTGTCTCTTGCTCCACACAACTCATATGCTCACAGATAGACTCATCGTCTGTGAGTATCCCCAAATCTTAACTAGATTAAAACGCTAGTCACTCATTGGACTAAAATCAAGTTTTCTATGTAGTGGGATAGGCTGTGCTCTGGGTGAACGTTGCTATCCTAAAGGGAATAGTTAAACAGAAAGCAGTAACTAGCCCAGAGCACATGCAGACATCATCAGAGAAGACACAAGTTGGTAACCCTCTAAATTCCCTTGTCGTGGGCTGGGGTTGCACCCTAAAGCCACAGCAGCTCTTCCTCTGAGACTGCCAGGCTCAGCACATACTGCAGCTCAGTTTAGAGTCTCAGGACTCAGCTTTCCCAAGGTGGCACTGTAGACTGGTAGTTCCAAGTTACAGAGTCCTGTGATGTCCCATTGTCTCTGTTCCAGTAGTGTCGGCAGTAGACAGTGTGTAACAGGACCCCTCCTGTCACTCTAAATCTGTGTGGAAGCTGCTGTGCCTCTGTAGCCCTAATGTTACACATGCCCGCAGCATAGCTACACTGAATGCTGATGATGACTCCTGTGGATTAGGTCATCAGCTGTACCTGGGCCTGCTTGACAAAGCTGAGATGGCCAAAGTGTTCTTCTGGAAAGCAAGGAGCAGCTGGTGTGAGCTTATAGAGAGCACTGGGACCTGTTCCTGAGACAGTTTTTCCTTTAAGGCCCTGGGCCTGTGGTGGGAGAGGTAGCCCTGCAGACTTCTGAGGTAACCTCCAAGTCACTTTCCTCTTATCCTGATACATCTGGCCTCGTTTTATCCATGCTGATCTCTTGCTAGGTTACTGGATACTTCTGGATATCCTACTTGATACTTCTTTGCTCCCTTCCTGGAGGGTCTGTAAATCTTTCAAATCCTTTAGCTCTGTTTCCTTTTAAATTAGAGATTCTGTTTTTAAATGGTGCTTCTAAACCTTAATTCCTGCAGTTCAGAGGTAACGCAGGGGCAGTATCACAGCTTTGTTGTTTCAGTATTTTCTCTGCCAGGCCCTCCAGTTTGTCACTTTTAAATTCTGCCTTCCATAAATCTCTAGGTGGGTATGGGCACAACTCTCCTGCGAGAACTAACTCAAAGAATCCTGGGAGATCTGCATCTCTTCTGAGGGCAGCATTCAGCAAGACCTAGAGACCTCCTAGTAGGCCCCACAGACCTCTCACAGATCCGCTGTCTACTCACATCACCATGCTGGGCATCCAGTTTCAACTCCTGACTCGCTTATCCAAACCATAGAGGCCAGCACCTCTGCCATCATGAACTTCATAGCTAGTAGGAGTGACTGGAGTGCAAAAAGGCCAGAATACAAGTTCAGAAACAGACTTGAGGGTCTTTCATTCTTAAGGTAGAAATGACTTCGCAGAGTATATTAATAGGTTAATGATAGTAACAGCGGCTTAGGCCGATAACAATGTTTCTCATTTGTCCAACAGTCCTACACAGCTGCACTTGATAGGATGAATCTCTGGGCTCTTATGTGAGCAATGACTCAAGAAACCACGTTTCTGTATTTTGGAGTCACTTATTGTTAAATGGCTTTGCTGGGAGGCAGGGGGAACGAAACAATGAAATGCAGTGGCTTGGGGTTGCAACATTTACTCTGGTTCATTTTACACAGAGGCTACGCTTGAGACACAGGTCTCCTCCAGGCTGTGCTTGACAGCATACCTCTTCTCCTGGGGGAAGAAATAGCTTCTGTGTGTGTCATGCCTATTCTTGTCACAGATGGGAAGAGCAACAGAGTGGGTTGAAACTGATGCCTTTTCTTCCCATGATGAGCTTAAGATTTTACTCTGAAGCTGTCACCACGGTAACGGCCACATGTCTGTCTATCACCTTACTAAATTTCTCCAGCACACATTATATTACTAGTGTATATATATTAAGAGCACATGCATTCTTTTTTTGTTTTGTTTTGTTTTGTTTTGTTTTGTTTGAGACAGGGTTTCTCTGTGTAGTCCTGGCTGTCCTGGAACTCACTCTGTAGACCAGGCTGGCCTCGAACTCAGAAATCCGCCTGCCTCTGCCTCCCAAGTGCTGGGATTAAAGGCGTGTGCTACCACCGCCCGGCTGAGCACATGCATTCTAACTTTTTAGAAAACCTTACATATTTCTTGCAGTATTAGCTAGAGGCATGGTACTGTATTGCAGACCCACAGAACTAAATTACCTTGTACGATTGAGGCTTTGCTAGCTTTGACATTACCTGTTTTCCTTGCCTTCCAGTATTTAACAGTCACTGTGCTTCTGTGCACTTAATGATTTTAGATTTCATATGTGCTGTGGTTGGAATATGGTTGGAGTGTCTTCCATGGTTATGTTGGGTTTTAATGAGAGGATACAAACTTAGTCTCAGCAAGGTCTCATGGTACAGGCTGTAATCCCAGCATCTAAAAAGGCAGGAGGATCATAGGTTCAGGGCAACCTGGGCTATAGAGTAAGTTTAAGTCTAGCTCAGACAACTTGGTCTCAAAATAATAAATAAATAAAATGCATATCTAGAAAAGATTCTAATGACTCCACCAGACAAACACTTTCAGAAAAGTAGCAGGATACAAAAAAAATATACAAATATCAGTAGTTTTTCTATATACTAAGAACAAACTTGCTGAGAAAGAAAGAAAAAAGCAATCAACCACCCTTGGAATAAACATAACCAAGGAGGTGAAAGACCTCTACAATGAACACTTTAACACTGAAGAAGGGGATTGAAGAAGATATAAAAAAGAAAAATGGCACCAACGCTCACAGATCAACAGAAGTAAATTATAAAAAATGGCAATATTACCAAAAGTGATCTACAGGTTCTACACATCTCAAAGTTTCGATGGTGTTCTTTACAATGCGAGATCAAATGATCTTAGGATTCATATAGAAGCACAAAAGACCCTGGGAAGCAGAACCAGTTCTATGGAGAAAGAGCAGGGCTGGAGATGCCACAGTACCTGATCTGAAGTTATAGTAAGGAGCCACAGTAACAAAGATAAGCATGTAGACTGATAGAATAGAGGGAGGACCCAGAGAAAAAAGCAAGCACAGGCTCAGACACCTCATCTTTAGCAGACGTGTGAACACCATTGGGGAGATGCTGTCGTCTTCAGTAAGTGATACTGGGAAATCTGGATATCCGTATATAGAAAAATAAAACCAGACCCTCTTTTCTCTGAACAAAACCAACTAAAAATGCACCAAAGACCTGAACTCTAAAACTGTTAAAGGAGAAAAGTATAAGATGCAAGCATAGCCAAGAACTTGCAGAAAAGGACTCTGGGAGCGTAGAACACAGGCTCAGGACTTGCTAATGGGACTGCATGAGATTTAAAACTGCAAAGTGAAAGAAGATTTCAGAGAGTGAGCAGACATCACAGCATGAGAGAAAATGCAAACCATGCATTTAATGGATTGATATCTAGTATCTAGATAGCAATCTGGATTCTTGAGAACCATGTGTATGATCATACTGCATAGCAGCCAAAATATAGAATCAGCTTAGTTGTCCACAACAGATGAATGAATAAGGAAAATGTATGTATGCTTAATGGAACCATGAAAGAAAAATGGAATTACATAGTTGTAATGGCCTGTTCTGCTGCTCCGGTCCGCAGGTCAGGGCCTAGCAAGAGAGAAAGAGGGCACAGAGAGACGAGAGACGTGAGACAGAGTCTGCCCTGTTCTCTCCTCGAGTCTCTCCTTTTATATCTCTCAAGTCTCGCCTTGAGTCTCACCTTGAGTCTCACCTTGAGTCTCTGCCTTGAGTCTCTCAAGTGCTGGGATTAAAGGCGTGTGCCACCACTGCCTGGCCTTGATTGAAAGGAAATCATGGGTATATCAAGATGTTTATCAGAGTGTGCTCAGCTGTTGTGGGCTGTTGAAAACAAGTCTCTTGTCAGGGTATATGGCTCAAGATGGCTGTAAAGATGATAGCCGCTTTCTGCTCAGAGTCGGCTCCCAACAGATAGTTTTTGTTATTGTATATGATTTATATGTATGATGATGTTATAACAAAGTCCATTGTTCCATGTAATTAGTATGTACTATTAAAAATTTTTTGGGGCTGGAGAGATGGCTCAGACGTTAAAGGCTAGGCTCACAACCAAAAATATAAGAGTTCGGTTCCCAGCACCCACGGCTGTAGCGCCGGGCGGTGGTGGCGCACGCCTTTAATCCCAGCACTTGGGAGGCAGAGGCAGGCGGATTTCTGAGTTCGTAGGCCAGCTTGGTCTACAGAGTGAGTTCCAGGACAGCCAGAGAAACCCTGTCTCGAAAAACCAAAAAAAAAAAAAAAAAATTTTTGAAATAGCACTCCAAAATCTTATCTAACTACAGTGTTTAGAGATAGGTGCCTTAGGATTAGATAATGTCTTTAGGGTAGAGGTAATGCTTGTGCATTTGTGAGAGAGAGAGGGAGAGCGAGCAGACCGATGACATGCCACTTCCACTCTTGCTATCTGATACCCTCAGGCTACCTTGTGACTGCCAGGAGAGGCCACTATCAGATGGACTTACACCTCCAAAATTGTGAGCCAAATATCTTTTTCTTTTACAAAATAACCTGCCATGCATAATTAATTATGCTAATAAAAGTACACTAATATCAGATACAAAGGAAGTTATATTTTACTTTCTGTGTCTGGTTTATTTAGCATATATTTTGTTCCCATCCATGGATGGGTAAGGTTGAGTCAATCTCTGGAAAGATGAGAATCAAACAGTTACAGAAAACAAACAGCACAGTTGCCCCAGCCTACCAAAAGGGGCCTGAGGCTTTGGCCTCTGTTTCTTCAGTTTTGTGGGCCAGCCTTGAAGTGGCAAATATGAATTCATCTCCGTTCCACTGACTAACTCAGAGCATATTGACTGCAGGCAAGACTGGAGGTGAAGGCCACCTGGATGTGAACCTCGGAAGAAGAAAAGGCTCACCATCTAATCAGTGTCTGCAGCATTGCGCTAATACATTCCTAAAGAAGGTTTTGGAAACTGAGAAGTTTGTCCCACAACCAAGATGGGGCACTGCAGTTAGTCCTTAGCCACACGATTCTTCCAGTGTCTGACATATGCTAGGTGCAGCAGTAGGGGCTGAACATGGAGATGAAGAAAATGTTAAGAAACTTCCAAGTTTTTTGAGTGTTTATTGTGTACCATTGTTTTCACTAGTTACTATGGATATAAAAACTGAAAAAGCAAGCCTCTTTCCAGTCTTGTAATACTGACATTGTTAAAGCAGATGTATAAAATGAAGGGATCTATGCTCTAAAAGCCAATCCTCCACAGTAAGTGTTAAGTTACCCCATTGTTGCTGGCGGTCAGAGCCCAGCTTGGGTATGTCCAGGTTGTTGGTATTTTATCCAAGAATTGAAGACAAGAGCACAGATTTACAAAAGAAGCAAGGTAATTTTATTTGGTGCAAAGCAATAGAACAGATTAAAGAGAGGTACATTGTCAAGACAGACAGCAGGCCATATGAGTGAAGATATTCAAGGGCCCTGGAAGGTAGCCTGGGTTTTTTTTTTTATGGGGTATGAGGAAAGGAAGAATTGGTTATTAAGGGGAATAGGGTGGTTCTTTATTTTGACTGATAGATTGGATCATACATTCATTCTTTCTACTGTACATGTACCTCCCCACAATGCTTCTGATGTTAACCATATGCATGCCCAATTATACATAGGCATAAGAAGGTAGATAGGGGATTCTCCCTAAAAGGTTGCTAGAGGACACAATTTTACCTTATGCTGCATACATCCAAAACCAGTTGAGGCTGGATTGGCCCTTCTATTATTCATATCTGTATACACTAGGGGCATGCTTGAATAGAAACTATAAATTTCATTGTTACCAGGGGCAGGGAAACACACAGTATTGTTCAGATATGGGTGCATGAGTAGCCTGGTACCGGGGGAGTTGAGGCCTGGGGTTGTCAGGTGCATTGTTTGAAGAGGGTTGTGTGTGCATATGGTGTGCAAGAGTTAAGTGCTAAGTATGCTGTTAGATGATGGGTGTGCATTCCCCACAGCTGTTTAATGGAGGTCCCAAGCTGTACTAGCTCCCGTGCTTGTCTGTCTCAGTGTGATTCCTCTCGTGTAACACTCTTACAACACCAAGGAGTCAACCAAGCGGTGTTGATAAGTAGATGCCGAGGATCAGGGGAGGGGTCAAGGTGATAGGGAAGACAGGTCGTGTTGATGGCAGTGTTCTCCTTCTGGATTGTTTCAGTGTGGGTATCCTCTCTATGATATTGTTGCAGTTTTAAAGGTGGAAAGCTGGGTGAAGAGTGTGAGATTTTTATTATTTCTTACATCTCTGCAAAAAGTTTAAGGAAGTAAATGAGTGCTTCCTTGGACTGCCACATTGAATAAACTAGATGTGGTAGTACATGCCTGCAACCCCAGCACTAAGGGGGTGGAGGCAGAGGGATCAGAAGTTCAGGACCATCTTTCACTACAAACTAGAGGCCAGCCTTGGGTATATGAAAGCCTGTCTTTTTTGAATACATGTACTCACAGTTGACAGTTGGGTGAATGGATTTGGGTGGTTGTGGGAGTCTGTGGTTTGCAGCTTCTTAGGTATGTTTGTTCCCTATTACTATAATAAAACACTGCCCAAAACCAGCTTGGAGAGGAGAGGGTGTATTTACTTAAGGGTTACAGTCCATTCAGGGAAGTCAGAGCAGGAACTCAAGTGGGAACCTAGAGACAGGAGCTGCAGCAGAGAGAGAGGAGTGCTCCTGCCTGTCCTCCTCTGGCTTGCTCACTGCTTCTTCATACAACCCGGGACCATCTTCCCAGGGCTGGCAGGACTCACAGTGGGCTGGGCCTCATATGTCACTCATTAATCAAGACAGTGTCCCACAGTGGGTCATGCTGATGGAGGCAGTTCCTCAATTCAAGCACTCTAGTTTGTATCAAGTTGACAGAAACTAGCCAGTACATTGGGCTAGAAATACTCAAGATCTAAGTGTACACTCAGATACATTACCTGACTGGAGTCTGAAGTGCATGAGCTTCAAGCCACGCCCTTCTTTAAATTAGGTGTTGGCAGCAGAACAGTAGTGGTTTTGGATTTGGTTGTATATGGTTTTGTTTGTTTTAAAGGTCTTACTGTGTAGCCCAGGATGGGCTCAGACTCAATGCTTCTTGCAGCCTAGCTTACTGAATGCAGGGATTGTAGATGTGTGCTACCACAACAGCATTTTCTCTTAAGTCAAACAATCTTTTTTAGGAAGTTTACAAGAGCCTGAGGCCCATTCCCCTCCAGAATGCCCATGTATGAAGAAACTGCGTAGTTCCCTTTGCCACACTGACACCTGTTTTAGCTGTTACACAGATGCCCGGGGTTTTCTTGGTCAGCCTGAGAATCTAGGTTAAACCTTGATGCTTGGTTGAACTCCCTTCACATCTGTTCACTTACTTACTCTAATAACTGAGGCTGGCTTTTCACCTGTAATATACTTATGGAACCTACGTTACTCCAGTTATGCAATTTAGAAATTCTTCTGCCTGGACACTGAATGATAGCTGTTTCTAAATTTGATATTTTTAAGATCAAGAAGCTGTGGAACCGTAGTTTACTGTGTACTGAGTTATAGACAAGTGGTTGGTGGTGTCTTAAGGTGTATCTCTTATTTTCTGAACAGCTTTCTGTAGACACACTGCAGTTCCTGCTCTTCCTGTATATCCAGCAGTTAAACAAAATCTCTCTGCGGACATCATTGATTGGAGAAGAATGGCCCAGTCCCAGAAGCAGACCTCAGTCTCCTAGCCCGCCTGAAAGGCCCAGTTGTCACACTAAGGTATTGCTCATAGCTTATAAAGGAAATGCTTCCCCTTCACTAAAAAAGGTGTCAAATGAAGCTCGACATTGGAGAGCATGCTTGTAAGTCTCGCTCTTGGGAGGCTGAGACAGGAGGATTATGAATGAATTCAAGACCAACCTGGACTATTGAGTAAGATTGAAAAAAAAAATGCTTTTTTTTTTTCCCTCCTCAAGTTGCTTAAGTAATTTTATGTGTTTTAACAACCTGTCAAACACAGTAAGTCTTAGAAAGGGTCTTACTAGCTTTTCTATTGTAAAGAAAAACAAATACTTGCATATGCTTTTTTCGTGTGTAAAGTATGTTGAAAAACTTGAAAATGTAAACCATAGTACCATATGAAAGCTCCTTTTTAGTGTGGATATATACACTTGTGGGTGTCCCATAGCATTGTGGAGGTCAGAGGACAACTTGTAAAAGTGGTTCTCCCCTTTTGTCATGTGGGTCCTAGGGACTGAACTCAGGTCACCAGGCTTGGCCGAAAGCACCTTTATCTGTGGAGCCATCTTGCTGGCCCCAGGCACATCTTGCCTGGCTTATCGGTATTTCAGAGTTCTGGGTCTGGTTTGTTGAAGTCTTTTCTTTCCCAACAGCCTACTCAGCACCTTCAGGCACTTTTAAAGCCAGCCAGCAGGGAGGCATTTCCTGGTCAGTTTGAAATGGGTTTCTCTGTGTAGGTTAGCCAGAGTTTAGTGTCCTTAGGAGTTGGGTCTCACCGAGAAGTTATGGTGAGTCACCAAGGGCAATAGCAATGGCATTCATTGTTTTGGAGTCTTCTGAGGCCGCCCTAACCTGTATCTCACAGGGAGATATCCTGTACACGTCTCAGGTTTCCTGGCTTCCACTGAATCTCCAAGTCACACATATAAAACAGAAGACTTGAAGCTAGGACCAACTAGGAGGGAGAGCATGGTCATCTTTCTGGGCCTGCATCACCTCAGTATGACTTTCCCAGTTGCATCCATTTATCTGCAGATGTTATGATTTCATTGATTTAATAGCTGACTAAAATTCCATTGTGTATATATACCACATCTTATCAGTCTGCCTGTTGATGGACATCTAGCTTGATCCTTTTTCTGGCTATTGTGGATAGAGCAGCTAAGAACATGGATGTGCTGGTATCTCTCTAGTTGGACATAAAGTCCTTTGCGCATATTCCCAGGAGCAACAGGATCATAGCGTAGATCTGGTTCTGTTGGACTCTAAGATCCAAAACCAGGGGATGTGCTCCCACAGAAACACACACGGACAGGACTCGCTGCAATAACATGAGGTTTAATGAACCAGTGCACTGGAGTTCTCTCGCATGCAAACAAGAAGAAAACCCTGAGTTGGAGCTAAGAGCAATTATTTCTACAATTTAAGGGGTGGACAGTGACTAGGCACAATAGGATTGGCGGAACAGTGTGACTTTTAAACTGATTGGTCTTTGGCGAATGAGGTGGCAAGGACCTCCCTTGTCTGTAAGTGGCAAGGATTGGTCCCTCCTGTGAATGTGTTTCTCACCCACAGGTGGGTTCCCTCCCCTGTGGTGGGAGGAATGTTAATCCATTTATCTCTTCCTCCTCTGAATGTTAATCCAGTAGGTGTCCTCTAACTAACAAATGTGCTCCTCCCAGGATGTGTGCTGGGGCAGTTAATTTTTGAGTTTAACCGAATTCCTACAGTTTTTGGTTTGCTTCTTTCTTTGTTTTTGTTTTTTTTGTTGTTGTTTTTTATGGGCTTTTTGTTTGTTTTTTTGTTTTGTTTTTGTTTGTCTTGGTTTTTTGTTTTTCAAGACAGGGTTTGTCTGTGTAGCTCTGGCTGTCTTGGAACTCACTCTGTAGACCAAGCTGGCCTCGAACTCAGATATCCACCTGCCTCTGCCTCCCAAGTGCTGGGATTAAAGGCATGCGCCACCACTGCCTGGCTTTTCTTTGGTTTCTGGATGGGGGCTAGAGTTTTCCTTTGTAGCCCCAGCTGGCCTGGAACTCCCTATGTAAACCAGACTGGCCTCCAGCTCAGCAAGATCTGCTTATCTCTTCTTCCCAGTGATGAGATTTAAGACATGCACCATGATACCTGGCCCTCTTTCTAGTGTTTTGAGAAACCTCAATAGTCTGCAAGTCTGTGCTCCCACCCACAGTGTATAAGGGAGAGCACACTGTCACAGTCACAGTGTATAAGGGAGAGCACACTGTCACGGTCACAGTGTGTAAGGAGAGCACACACTGTCAGTCACAGTGTATAAGGGAGAGCACACTGTCACAGTCACAGTGTGTAAGGAGAGCACACTGTCACACTCACAGTGTGTAAGGAGAGCACACACTGTCACACTCACAGTGTATAAGGAGAGCACACACTGTCAGTCACAGTGTATAAGGAGAGCACACAGTGTCACCGTCACAGTGTATAAGGAGAGCACACACTGTCAGTCACAGTGTATAAGGAGAGCACACACTGTCACACTCACAGTGTGTAAGGAGAGCACACAGTGTCACAGTCACAGTGTATAAGGAGAGCACACACTGTCACAGTCACA